TTGGAGGATATCAGCAGTGCAGCAAGGAAGTTCCCCACTGAGTGTGGATGGAGCTTGGTTTTCCCCCAGGTTTTCAGCAGTTTGCAGGGAAGTTCTGTACGAGACAGGGTGTAAAGCTGTGATCTCACATTGCCACCCACCAACACTCCCCCTGGTTTGTTTTCTTCTTTTTTTTAATTTTTTTTTTGTCAGGTCATTCAAATTAATTGGTTTCAACTTTTTCTTTTTTTTTTTTCAAGTGGAAGTTCATTAAAATGTTGAAAAATTGCCATCACAAGGAAAAGCACAATCTCCTGTTAACAGTGTCAACCTGCTACTGCTCTGGCTTCTTTTTCTTCTTAATTGGATCTTTTGAATCAAATTCTGCTTAGCAAACAGCTTGGATTTGGACAAATCAGCAGGTTTTTTCCAGTGGGGAGGACATAAAAAAAAATAATAAAAATTATCAAGAATTTCCCAACTATCCCAAATAACTTCCCAGATGTGGTGGTATCTTAATAAAGTTGTAGCCTATTTAAAACTTGCTTCTTGTATATTTAAGTTCTTGCTGAAGTGTCAGGGGACAATCAGTCACCACTTGTACTCAATAAACTGGGAGATGATACTTCAGGAATCGATGCAGCTCTGCAGAGATTTGAAAGATGTGCATTTAATGGAGAAAGCAGTAAATAAAAATAAAGCCTCGCTGGGATTTAATTCCAGTGTCCAATGGGTGAGTTTGTACTTGTGTGCATGTATAAATAACTTAATTCTAAATAAAGATGCCAAAGGAAAGGGGAAATTGTAAACTTAGCAACTATTGACTAATATACAAAAAATAAGGCCAGTGTCATCAAGTTGCACTCTGCTATTCTAATTCTGCATTCATTTGCATAAAATCCTTGCTGATTTGATGCAGATAATTCCTGACTCTCCACTCCATCAAGAAAAATCGATTTGTGGATATTATAGACTAAATCAACATTTTCCTGGGTTTTGTTCCCCACCCCAAGTTCCACTGCTCTCACAGGTGGGTTCCAGAGGTCAGAGGAGCAATGCCTGGCACTGTGAGTACACAGAAGTACAAGGAATAATCTTATCTCAATATTGAGTTAATACTATTAAAGCTATTAAGGCATTTTAAAGACTTCTTGGCCAACTCACAATTAACATTTCTTCAATCTTCTTAAATTATCAAGCACTATGAAAATAGACAAGGTCATTGTTTTATCTGCAATAAAGTCAAAGGAATTGCCAGAGAGTCTTACACGTATAATTAACAGTGTGCAATTTATTCAATAAAGCTCTCATTTAATTACAGGAACCTATTACACTGAGAGATGTGTTAGGGGTGATTTATATCTCAGATGTAAATATTCAGAAAGAGACCTCCCATAATGAAAGCAGCTGCTCCCTGCTCTCCATCCACGTTCAGCTTCAGCGTGTTGGAACAATATATTAAATATTGGGCAGGAATTGTTCCCTGGGAGGTTGGGGAGGCTGGGGCTGCCCTGGATCCCTGGCAGTGCCCAAAGCCAGCCTGGATGGGGCTGGGAGTGCCCTGGGATAGTGAGAATGTCCCTGCCAAGGATGGGAGTGGAATGGGGTGGGTTTTAAGGTCCCTCCCAACAATCCCTCCTGGGATTCTGTGTTGATACCAGGCCCTTACGAGCTGGCAGTGCTCATTTTGGGATGATTTAGTGTCACCTGCTGGAATTGTGGCCGATGTCTCCTTGGTCTTCAGGAGTGTGGCCTGACCAGCAGCCACAGCCACAAGCTGGGTTTGAGATGTTACATCTGGTTTTGTTGCTGTTCCTTTCACCAACAGTGAAAAAGTGGTTTGTCAGCAAGCCTGTGCTCTTTCTGCATCCATAAACTGTGAATCCACACCCATTTGCACTGTTAGAAATAGAAAAGTTTCTTTTTTCTTAACATGGAAAAATAAATATTCCTGATATTTGCTAATAAAGTGTTCCTTGTTGGGATGAGATTATGCACTTGTACATCCCCTGTGCTCCCAGGGCCTTTCTGCCCTTGGTTTATCCAAAATCCAAAGGAGATTCTGCACAAAGCTTTAAGCCCCAGAGCTTTTAAGCTGAGATATTCAGAGCTGCACTAAGTCACTGCCTCTGCACGAGCTCCACCTGTGCTGTCTTAGCATCAAAAGCACAGCAAATCACTCTATTACTTAAGTAATTTCCTCCACAGATCTCAGAGCTTTCACAAAAAAGCAGCTGAATGAAGCTGTTTATATGTGAACAGAACATATTTTTCAACATCCATTCCTCAAAAAATGCTCACTTACGTGATCACAAATTTAAACAACAACAAAAACTTCAAACCCAGTCAAACCCAGCAGTGTCAGGCTGACAGGAGTTGATGACACTCATAAAAGGAACAGCTTTCTAAAGAGACATCTCTCTCGTGGAAAGTGTTAGCCAATTGATAACACAGGTAATATTCAGCATCCAGATCTATGCTGATGTATAAAACTGCTGTCAAAACCACTGCCTTTATTGACATCAGCATGAATACTTTGCTCCTGAGGTAAAGGCATTATTGTCAGGAGGAGCTGAAAACATTAGAGAAGCTATTTCTCAGTTTAACTATGTAAAAGTCTGTTGTTAAAAATCTTTATGAGTTCTTAACATCAGAAAAAATGTGAAAGAATCCCATTCACAATGGAGTGCCTCACTTAAATCCTTGAAGGGTTATTTTAACTGGAAAAATCTTTGGATTGGTGGCACAGCTGGGTCACTGGCAAACCCAGCTGTGCCTGCCCACACCTCATCTCCCCTCCTCTGCACAGCCCTGCCTGGGCTCTGGCAGCTTTAGAGAATCCAGTGGATGGAAATTCCCTCAGCTCAGGAGGAAACTACTCAAGAAGTGATTTCAAGAGGCCACAGTCAATCCAGCTGCATAGATCCCATCACATGGAATATTGCAGCACATCCCACGTCTGGGAGCAGCAGGGAATTGTGGAGGGGCAAAACAAACCCTGCTGTGCCCCATCTGAAAATAGATTCATTTTCACAATCATGGATTCATTAAATGTTCTGAGTTAGGAGGGACCCACAAGGAGCATCAAAATCCAGCTGCTGGCCCTGCACAGGCCACCCCAGGAATCCCAGCACCTGCCTGGACATAAAAGGAATAAACCATTGCCTCCCTCTTTAACCTTGCTATAATTCAACAGAAAAAAACGAATCACTGAAGACCAAACCTACAAAAACATTCCAATTTGCCACTGAGTGGAATCAGAACCCAGAGGGCACAGGGATGAGCTCAGGTCCCTCTCCTGTTGCCCTGGTGTCCCCCTGCCCCATGCAGAGCTCGGGGCCAGCACGTGCTGCCCCAGCACTGTCCCCACGACTCCTCACCCCACTCAGCTCTTCCCTCTAATGCAATGTGACTGAGATGAAGGAACCTCCTGCTCTCCAGAGATCGATTCTCCTCAAGCACAGCACATAAATGAATATTTTACAAGCCATATAAATGCAGCCCTTTCCATTTTTCCTTTCCAGTTTTGCTGTTCAAAGGCAGACGCTGGTGCCAATTTATGGAGTTTAAGTTCCCATCTCAGGAGAAGGCAGAGATTCCAGCCCCTCACCAGCTCCAAAAATAACACATGCTGTTGTTTTGTGGGTGATTTTGACAGAATTCCAACTCCTGCTCAGCTGTAACAGCTGATTATTAAAAATGTGGGATATTCTAGAAAACGCCTTCCGGAGGTCCTGAGCATCGGCGACCTTTGTGTTGGGGAAACTCAAACTGCACCAACACTGCTGAGTGTGAAACCTTCTTTAATAAGAAAATCCTCTCTATTATGGTTACATTCTTTAGCATCCAGTGGTCAATAGCTAATCTGCTGTACCTTCAACGTGGCTATAGGGAATTAACACTCGGCACCTCTGGATCCTGCTGCAATGGCCCTTTGCTTTGGACTTCAAAGGCAATAAAAAAGTAATATTGAGATCAAAGCCTCCCAGCACAATCACACTTTTTGAAGTTTGCAAACCATAGAAATTGGAGGCGTTTTAGTTCGCTGGCTCTTGTCATTTTTATTTTTATTTTTTTTTTTTGAACTCCTGAGCACTTTGAGCCCCTGCTCAAACTTTTGATATAAACTCGTGTTTTGATGCACAAGGATCTGAAGATGCCAGGGAATTCCAGATTAATCCATGCTGACAGCAAGGGCCCTCGTTACCTTTCCATTGATTTTGCGAGGTCTGGGAGAAAAAAAATAAGCAGCAGACATTGTTTTAAGGCTTTCCTGTGGCACAGGCTGCATCACACATCCAATTTTTGCTCAATTACCATGACATATCCATACTTACTACTCCAAACTATAAACCTTCAGCAGCAATTTTGATCAGGCCTTGAAATCCATACTATTTAGAGATCAAAAATCATATCAGACAGTGCTGCAAGACCTGATTGAGTCAAATTCCTCTTGAAAAGCAAAATATGGGTAAAGCAGAGAGGCCTGAAGCATGTGGAGACTGTGGAACAAAAGCTGTCAGCATTCCTTGTTCAGAATTCCTGAAAGCCACATTACATCCCATGATTAAGTGTTCAGCTTGGAACCTAAATTGCTTTTCCTGCAGGAGGGATAATCTTTGGACGTGGCAGAACAGGTTGGTAACTCTGTTTGTCCAGAGGACTGTCCTGAGCAGATAAAGTGATTTCAGGTTTTGGCAATACTCTGAATATCCAGGGTGCTGAGGGAGGGCAACATCCTCTTTTCCCTCACTACAGGGCCCTTGTAAAACAGGCTCTGTGTAGCAATAAATCTGTTTATTTTTGTTATGGTTCTCCCATCGCTCTCTGGCTGCTTCTGTTTTCTCTTCAAAAGCACTTGATTGTGCCATTCTCTGTTTGCAGCATCATAAAGTGAAATTCACTTCATTGATCAGAAGATGACCTCTATCCAGTGCCTCTTAGATTAGAGATAACAGCAGGCTGCTGTCTCACTGAGAAATAATTTCTTTGGCTCCTTCAGCTCCTCTTTATTATGATTGCTTCCTAACATATCACTTAAAAACTGGAATGGAAAACAAATGAGGATATCCTCTCCACTGTTTGTATTTTGACTTCCCAACAAACACAGATGCACACACACTGCAGCACTTGGAGCTTTAGAATAATTCATATTTTCCTGTGGAAGATGAAGAAAATATTTAACTGTAGACAAACGAGCTGAGGAAAGGGGTAAAAATGGATTGACATAAACCCTACATTTTGCCTGAGAGACTTTATGCTTTAAACCAGGAAAAATGGGAGATGTACATTCATGTGAAATTTAAACTGTGCATATTCAGGAACAGGTTTTTAAATATCAGCAATAAAGATCATGTTGGAATACATTATCACATTCTGCACTGGAGCATGTGTTACATATTTATAACAAGGAAAGCGTGCAAGACTAATCATACACTATGAATAATGCCATGTTTTTCCAGGCAGATTTGCAAAGTGTTATCCCAGACATTCCCTTCTGCCGGGGGCAGGAGGAAGCAGAGGCTGCTCCAGCTCTCCCCACTCAGCTGCTCAGCATCCTCTGCAGGAGGATTCCAGGCGTGAGGTGTGCGCTGCCATTTAGCTGAAAATCGGCAGAAATCTGCATTATTTCTGCTCTTTCAGGCCTATTGCTCAGCTCAGGAGAGCTTCAGTTGGCAGCAGTTTGTTCCCAGGGCTCTGGATGGTGCTGCCTTGGCAAAGTGCTGGGATTTCTGGAGGGCTTGTCAGCCCCAGGAAAGCCCTTCAGCTTCGGTCTCACCATCCTCCACTCCCCCAGACTCTTCAGGAATAAAATAAACTGCTCTTTTTGTCCCTCCCCACAAAAATCTTGGAGTGCCTCAAACACTGGAATGGGCTTTTGACAGCTGACCTTATTTTATCAAGTAATTTATAATTAAAGCTCCACAAATTCAGTAGTGTCAGACACTAATACAGCTGAAACACTCCATGGATATATCATCCAAACCATGCCACTTTTACGAGTTTGCCCCAAATGAGCCATTCAGAACCAGCCCTGGCCAGTGTACTGAGCTTCTCCCCCTTTATTTATGGACAGGGAGAGTGGAGAGAAAATGTGTTTATTCCTGGCTGTGGTGTGTGCCAGGGCTGCTTTCACAGGGTGCAACAACTTGCTCCATTCTCAGGCATCCACATGGAGATTTCTCTGCAAGAAATCTGGATTAAAATCCCAGTTCTAATTGGGATTAGAATCTGAGTCTCAGACTGGGATTAAAAGAGTGAGCAGGAGGACAAATGCTGGTGGTAATTCTGGCTCTGGTTTCCTTGCCCAAGGCAGGGAGTTGGAATGAGATGATCTCTAAGGTGTGTTCCAATCCAACCCATTCTGTGATTCTGTGATTCCATGATTAATTCTTCAAGAAGGGGATGTGCTCAGTGGGATTAAGGATCAGATACCACAGAGGTTGCCCGTAAAGATCACCAGTTTTTATCAATATTCTGCACCAGCAGACAAAAAACCTTTCGATAACATCGACAGCACACCTAACATGAACCTTTTGCAGTTGGTTGGCCAGCTGTGACCTGGTTTAAACTTCAGTTTTGTAAACAAAATGTGATTCACCCAGGCCTCAAAACTCAGCTCTTTCCCAAAAGAAAAGAGCAGCTTTTACCAAAAGTCAGTCTCAACCATAGACTCACGGAATAAAGGAAGTCCGAGCATCCTCCATCCAGGAAAACATCATCTGGGAATCATTCCTCTTTTATCCAGAAGAAAGTCCTTGGGAAAGGCCTCTCCTGTGCTCTGGGCTTGCTCTGGGGTTGGGGCTGTGCTGTGGATTTGTTCCCTGATGTCCTGTGGAGTAACAGCAACGTTAATTCAGAAAAGGCGTTCGGCACGAGCCGTTCTGTGGATTCAGAGGTGGCACTCGGCTCCCTGGCGCTTCCCTTCCAAAAGGGATGGATCAGTGACACCTTCACCTCCCTTTGGCTGGGAGGAGCACAGACTGTCCCATGGCCAGGGAACACCATGTTTTGAGCTTTTTTGAGCTGGCTGGTGACAGACACGTCCCAGTGCAGCCCCTGCTGCAGTTCCAGACAATTTTACCTGATCTGTGATTTTCAGAACTCCCAAAAACACCCGTCTAAGTTGACAGACACATTTGCTGTGTGACAGTGGCTCTGTGATGCTAATATTGGCTGTTGCCTGACATTTTATATAACAACATTTATATAACAATTCCTAAGGTCTGTGATGCACCACACAATTCAAACCCAGCCCTTCCATTTGCTCCCCTTATCAACGTAAAGCTGGTGGTGTATCAAGTAATATCAGAGAAGATAAATTATGCCACTGTTTATTTACAGTTTACATCCCTGCAGTCAATGTACCTCATGCAGGAACTGACCTGTGGAAGAACTATAGCAGCACATTATTTGTGCAGCAGTAAAATTGATGGAAATTGATGATGCCTGAAAAACACACAATTATAGTGTCTTGATTAAAAATAGAGCACATTTCAATGAACTTTTTCCCTTCTTCTCATGATTATGATACACAAGTACTAACATTAATGGTATTTTTTTATATAATGAACCATAAAATTACAGTTGGCAGTCAAGAGCACTCTAGCAGATAAGTAAGGCAATTTTCCTCATCATTTTTCCCTTTGTTGTCAATCTTGTTGCATAGCCCATTGCCTTTTCAATGAGCTGTAATGTGAATATTCAAGATCTTGCTTTTCCCCCGTGTATACATTCCATACACAGTTGAAATAATTCAGTTTCATGCCACCTATTTTAATATGTTTTATTAAACAAACTTCATATTTTTAGGGTTTTCCACTCGTAACAGAACTTGCCTGAGCATTGACAAAGAGAATAATGGCATTAAAATTGTCCAGGTTTCAGGGAGATCAACAAAAGTGTTTATTGAGCTTGCTGTGCAAACAAGTTTAAAAGTTTGGGTTTGATTTTGCTCTGACACTGTCTGTGTCTCTTTCCTGGAGGTTTTATGAAGTTCAGACGTGTTTGAAAACTTACCCACGTAAAAAAGACAATCCAATTAACTCTCAGTTTAGAACCAAACCAAGTTATAAGACATTAAAAGTATTAGCTCTCATATTAAAGCATTTTAGGAAATATTTATTTCATACCATTTCCTGTGGTCTGGGGATTTATAGCTCCTGATATAAATTATCATTGCTGTAGGATGAGAAATAAGTGAAATGTTGTATAGCCTCATCTGTGTCTTACTTGACATTAAAAGGCAATAGAAATTAATACATTAAATAGCTTTGAGTTAGGAAAAAGAAGATGTGAAGTGCTCTTGAGAGGAATTACCATTCTCCCATGTAAACAGGTGACTGTGGGAGGTGTCCCTGCTCATTACTGTTGGCACTAAATAGTCTTTAAAGCCCATTCTAACCCTTTAACTTCCCATGATCCCATCAGATACTCACAGCTTCCTCCAGCTCCAGCATGAAGGATGAAGTCCAGGATGAAGACAAGAAGTTGGTGGCTGTGACCTTCTCCAAAGCCTGCAGTGCTGGGTGGGATGGATCTTTCCAAGTTAGAAAATAGAACTTTTTTTTTGTGCCAGTGCTGCAGGATATGTTCAGAAAGCTCAGCAGTCAGGAAGGAGATTCTGCAGATAGCTCAGACATGATAAAGATCAACATTTCATCCTCACAGTAAGGGCACAGCCATGAGAAACTCCACTCTGGACACTCCTTGTGCCCTCTGACAGCCACTCTGATTTAGGCTCCTGCAAACTGATTCCCACTCAGGTCCCTCCTGATCAGCTCATTAACCTTCCTCTATTATTTGGGATTCACCAAGGGCAGATATTTTTGGTTCTTTATCCATTTAGAGATGAAGAGCCACAAAGGTAAATAATCTGTGGAACAACAATCCAGATTTAGGGTGTCTGTCACCATGTGAAACACATTTATCCTGGGGAGAGAAAAAGCCCTCCAGGCCCTCCTACATGGCTGATTTAAGTTTCTGACAGTTTTCAACTTGATTGATTTAGGGCTATATTCTGTGATATTTCAACATATTGAAATATCTTTGACTTCTACCGTTTTAATCCTTACTCAAATAACCACACAGAATTCTGCAGCTCACAAACATCTCTAACAACACAGGACAAAGCAAAAAGAAAGCACCAGCTTTAAATAAAAATAAATTACAAAGACCTGAAAATAATCTGCGGAGTGAAAATGAGACATCAGGACCTAGCAGCAGAGATTGGAGAGCGAAGTGCTGCGTTCCCAGGGCTGCAGCTGTGATTCCCCCATTAAAACCAGAGCATCTGGCAGCCAAACAGCTGCCAGTGGGCTCAGGGAGCTGCTCAGGGGTGCCACAGACCTCTCTCTCCTCCACATCTGCTCTTCATCCCGGAGCTGAGCCATGAAAAAAAATCTCCCTGCAGGATGAGCTTCACCTGCTTTCTCCCAGCACATGCAATCAACACTTTTGTTTTCATCTTCCCTCAGCAGCTGATTCCCAAATGCTTTGGGTTTGCACAATTTACCTGAGAGCTTTCCAGGCCAAGATGTTTTTCAAGGTTTGTGAGTTACGATAGAAAATGAGGCAGTCTGGGGTTCCCTGTGGACCAGGGTCATTGTGAATTTGGTTTATTTGTTTGTTTCTTGAATAATATGGCTTTTTTTTTTCCCCCATGGGTTCCTACCTGCAAGAAAACCAGACAGGCAACTTTTAATGAATCACACCACCATTCTTCTGAAGAGACAACTGCTGTTAGAACTTCTGGTGCTATTAATTCCCATTAGCAGCAAAGATGAGGCTCAGCCTTTGAACATGCAAAGTTTGCAAGAAATTGTTGTGAAGAAGTGAGGCCACCTTCCTGGTGAAAAGAAACAGGTGAGACCATGCTGGCTGCCTCTCCAGGAGGTTTTGGAGCAGGGGTTAGTTTTATCCAATTTAAAGTGAATGTGGAATAAACTCCCAGCACTCATGGAAGTATTTACACAATTGTATCAGCTTTAAGTCACACAACTTCAGTTTTCAGCTCCAAAGCTGCTTCCTTTCCTAAAATGAAGCCTATAGATTAAGTTGGCCAACACCAATTTTTAGAAGAAACCACCAGGATGTCCTTCACAGATAATTTCTAATCACCAAGTACCAAGAACTCACTGCTAATTTTGATGGCACAGGTTTCAAGTTGGTTTTAATCCAGACCAAGTCCATAAAATAAATCAGATTTAAGGCAAACAGCAACTAAATTTTGTTATGATGTGTGAATGATGAGATTTTTGTTTCTGATCTAGGATTCAAGCTGGTGAAAACAGGGAGTGTGAAAAAGAAAACCCTCTCTGATGGTTTTTGATACCTGCCCATACAAATTTCACAAGCAGTTCTGACTAATCCTGGCTCGGAGAGCTTAGAACAAACTGTAGGGCTGAGAAATGAAGAGTGTCAGCTTTGCAAGGAGCTAATGTGGCACAAGGTCAAGGTTGACAAACCAGCCCCAGCCTAATGCCTCAAATACATCCAGGGCTGTGTTAGCCAAGAAAGATAAATGAAGAAACTGTCAGCCAGCTCCAGTCTAAACAATGGAACAATTTAAACTGGAGGGAATCATAATCTGAAGCAATTTGTTTCATACTGTACCATCATGATAAAGAAAATCTCAATTTTTCTCCATCAGTCTGGGGCGTCAATGGGAGTCTCAACCAAAAAAAAACAAACTTTCATCAGAATAAAAGTCACATTTCAAGGTATCCCTAAGGACAAGAGCCACGTTTTGAGCACAGTGGAAAAGCAGATATGAGAAAACAATTTTGGTTTGTGAGACTAAACAAAATGCTGTCAGTTGTGCTGTTTGGAGGCAGACAGGTTCGTGAAATACAGGATGTGGTGCTCAGTAACAAGTCAGAACATTCTGGAAAACAAATTCATGCACATTCCCTGATGAGGTAAATTGCATTTGAAATCTGTTTCTAGAAGGAGGAGAGGGACTTTGAGCTTGGAAAGGACCCCTAATCAGAATTTCTCCTCTTTTGGCCACCAAGGTAATGAAAGGAGAGCTCAAAAATAATAATTTCTCATAGATCCTCTCTCAAAAACCCCATAGGAGTCTTCACCTTGGGCTACACAAGTAGAATGAGAACACACCCAAAGAGAAGACCCTGCAAAAATAAATTGGAATAAGTAGTTTGTACCGTGTACGTTCTGCTCCACAAAAGTGGCGAAGTAACAGTGTGTGATAAAGCCACAAAGTGAAAGGAATTGAAACTTAAAATTCTCACTGATCCACTCTTATTTCACACCTCAGTTATAGATTTTTATTTCTGCTTGTTCAGGAGTCTCATATCTTGAGATTTTTCTTTCCCATTTTCCAGATTTTAATGAGTCTATCAAGACATTTGGATAACTCTGAGGAGAAGGTTATGCAAAGTTTGAAGTAAATTCAAATTGATTTTGAGTACAAGGCACTTTAACTTAATATCCATCTCCCGCTCCTGAAATGGTGTTTTACCACTTCACACTTCCCATCTCACATTGGTGATATTGAAATAAAACAGGTTCAGATCACATTATGTTATAGAATGGATTTGCTTGGAAGGGATTTTAAAGCTCATCCACCTCCCACTGTCCCAGGCTGCTCCAATGTCCAACCTGGCCTTGGGCACTTCCAGGGATCCAGGGGCAGCCCCAGCTGCTCTGGGCACCTGTGCCAGCCCTGCCCACCCTCCCAGGGAACAATTTCTTCCTAATATCTAATCCTTTTATCAAATCTAATCTTCTTCCTCAGATAAATAATCCTGGTGATGCTGAAATGCCGATCTCCTGGGGTGATGAGACTGAGGTGATGCTCGTGCAAAACATTCCTGTCGCTTCTCTTAAGCTATCAAAAATCATAATGGAATATTTCTTACTTCCTATTTTATCTTTTCACTGTGCTCACAGTACTGAAACAATATCACAGTAGATACAACTATGTAGGAATTTGGTATCACAAAAAAAATCTGAATTAACAATTTTTTATACTCTTTTCAGCATTTGTTTCATTTCTGCTTCAAGCATAGGCTGGAGAATGACAAAAACAATCCTTGACAGGCCTGTACGTGATCATCAATGTTACTGGTAAAGTTCTAGGTAATGAAATCTATGAAATTACTCCCGTGTTTAATGAGATGCATGAAATTAAGCAGTTTTTTGAATTGGGGGAGCCAAGATGTGATGGGGAGAAACACCACAGGCAACTTCAGCACACTTGAGGTGATAAAATGAAAGGAATTTCCTATCCCCAGCTGGAAAAGCTCATTCATCCTTGGGCTCTGATATTTCCAGGTTCAACATCCATGTGGATTTTTTAATTAATTCCATTTTCCTATGATTCTACAAGGAAATTGCACAAAGGGCGAAAAATCACCGGCAAAACCCGAAGCAACAGAAGCAAAAAAGGGCAAAATAAAAAGGGGAAGACAGAGCAGCCTGCTCTAAAATGAGCCTGTGTTCGAAGCCATGTCTCACAAAATGATTTTGAGGCTGTGGTGGTGCAAACCAAGCACCACTATTGACAGAACGATGAGAGACGATCAAATCGGGCGGGGAAGGATCCAACCCCTGCACATCACATCCCTCTAAGGTTACAGAGAGTGGAGTCTATAAAACTCAACCTAAAAAAGCGTATTATTTCTCAGAGGACACAAATGTAACAAGCTTTTCCTGATGGCAAAAATCCAATTATTGTAGTAAAGGTTGTGCTCAGTTATTTCTCACTTCATGTCAAAGCAAATTGTAAAATGAGGTGCCTGGGAACTCTGCTGCTCTACCTTTACTGGTACACAAACTTACACTCTCCCTTTTTTGTTGTAGTTAGTAAGAAAACAGAAGGAAAAAACTGAAGGGGAATGTCATCAAATACTGGCCAAGAATGTGATATATAGAATTTTTTTTTTTTTCATTTTTATTTCTCAAGAGCTGCAAAGAAAAGTTTAGTGTAGATTGGATCAAATATATATTTTTCTTTGCTGACAGCAATAAAGTTATCTTCATCTCTATTGGATTTTTTTCTTAGATAGGAGTATATGTTAAACCAGTCCAACTGCTTTTTCTATTTGTTTGGCAGAGGAAAAGAAAAAAATTCCACTCAAAACTAAAGGCTAAAGCAATTATTCCTGGCTGTATCTTTGTTTTCTGGGAAATGACAGTAGGGCTGGTGAGGAAAACTAAGTTATTTTTTTAGGAAATCACGTACAGTAAGAACTGGTGAATTTTCTGCACTGACCATTGAAAATGCCACGATTCTCCCCTCCAGCCATGGAATCAGTGAGGCTGGGAAGGATCTCAAAGATCATCCAAAGACTCCCAGCTGTGCCCAATGCCCACCTTGTCCCCAGCCCAGAGCCCTCAGTGCCACCTCCAGCCCTTCCTGGGACACCTCCAGGGATGGGGACCCCAAACCTCCCTGGGGAGCCCCTTCAGCTCCCAACAATGTGAATCCTTTGTTGACACTCCTACAGATGCTGTAAAAAACCTTTTTCCTCTCTTTTTCTCCTTTTTAACTTTCCTTTCTGATGTTATGAGGGTATTTCAACAAAACCCATCTGGCGCTTCCACCAGGATGGGCTCCCACACCTGAAACACCAAGTTCTTCTCTCCTTTTTGGATCATAATAAAGACTTTTCCTTGTTTTTGTATTCTGACAGAGAGAATGTTGTTTCTCTTTCAGTAGTAGCTGATAGTTCAAGGTTGGATGGGGCTTGGGGCAGCCTGGGCTAGTGGAAAGTGTCCCAGCCCATGGCAGGGGTGAATGGGATGGGCTTTAAGGTTCCTTCCCACCCCAAATCATTCCAGGATTCTGTGGATAAACCCCTCCCATGCATCTCTGTTCTTCAGGATTTTGTGCTGTGTCTGCATTAATTTTTCTGCTCAGGCATTGTGAAGCTGGGCTCCCTTCGATCCTGCTGTGGGACCTAAGCTGGGAAGCAATTCATGGACAGAACCAGTGCCCAAGAGCAGCTGCAGCAGCAGAAAATCCTGGGCTGCCTCCCTTTTCCAGGATTAAACTAAAACACAGCTTAAAATCGGGGTTTTTTCTGGGCAGCCCACTCTTACTGACCTCGCTTGACATGACCCAACTAAGTGGAGGAAATTTTTTTTGGCATTTTCTGAACAAGACTAAATCAAACAAACAAATCA